GTCTCCTTCGGCCTCGACCTCGATGTGTTGCGCGTGCCATTCCTGCGCGCACGCTTTGCTCCAATCACCCGAACTCACCATGGTGTACTCGGCGTCGGTCTCATGTTTGTACGACTCCCTCTCTTGGTTCTCCTTGTCCGTGAACTCGTCGGCGAACAACGGTTCCTCGCACTCAACTTGGTCGACCTCACACTCGAATGCCTTGTCTTCAACATAGCCCGGTAGATCGAACGTAAATAAGGGCTCTCTTTCGATGACCTCCTCCATGATCTTCAATTGTCTTTCATATTCCTCCTTTTGCTCGTACATCTCCTCCAAATACTCTTGCTCCAAAGGGGTTAATTCCCTCTCCAAATTTTCGAGGTATTCGAGATCCTCCCAATCCAATTCAACTAATGGTGGGTAAGACATTCTTTCTTTTTTTTTTTTGACTCTAAAAAATTCGAAAAAATTCGAACCCAAAAATAAAAAAAAATAAAACAAAGAGAAATTCGGCCCCTCAACAAAAGGTAATAACCGAACAAAAATCAAACAAAGGACTAACAAGATGACACTTTTTTTTTAAGACTTTCGAAAAAATAAACGAAAAATTCGAACAAAATTCGAAAATTTCGAACAAAAAAGAACAAAAATTCGGCCCCTCAACAAAGGCAAACCGAAAAAATTAAAAAAGATAGATAGATAAAAACACGATCAGCACCTCTCAATAAAAGCACCAATGATGACGGATCGTGTTTTTATCTATACGTGGGTTGTGAATAAACGCGCACTAGGGCCTTCATTTATCCACGATATGTGTATCTAACAGACGCGCTATCGGCCTTCTCCTAGACACTGTGACTTCGAGACGCTCTCAGGGCTTTCTCTCCGACACTGTATGTAAACACGCATTGACAGCCTTGTTTATCACACGTTAGAACATAAAGTTCCCCTCAAAATTAGCTCACCAATTCAATACTCAATTCAAGACATAAAATTATGATGAGGTACATGGGGTATTTATTTATAGGTGCTAATTACCTCTAATGCTAATCTTACTAGGAAACTATTAAAACAATTAAATATTAAATCCTAAGGCAAGTAAATATCCTACTACCATAAATTCCTAAATCTACTAGATCTCCTAATTACTTGTCTTGCACTTCAAGCAATTCTAGAAGGCTCCAAGTCTTTCCCAAACCCTTCGCCGCCTCTGCACTCCTCGGCCGCCTTTGCGCGCGCGCCCTCACGCCTTACCCTAGTCCTCGAGGACTAGGGCTGCACCGCCTTCGCCCATGCGTGTATTTCCTCTCGCCTCGAGGCTTAAGGCCTCGCGCCCCACATGCGCCATTCCTATTCCTTGTAGGACCATGCCTCGAGCCCATATCCACTATTCCAATTCCTACAAGGAATATGCTCCCGGTTACGTTTCCTGATTTTCCAAGGATTACTCCCGTCACCGATCTCCCACGCGCGTTCCAGCACTCAACTGCTTTTCCTATTCCTGCAGGGATTAGTATTCGCGCCTTGCCTATTCCTATGAGGATTAGGCTTGCCACCCCGGTCTTGATTTGTGCCTCGCGCGTGTCGTCGTGCGCCCCGCGCTCGTCGTCCAGCGCGCCCAATGCCCGCGCATCGCTCATCGTTTGCTGCGCGCCCGTCCATCCGCAGCAACTCCCCTCGCGCGCCATCCACCCAACAACCTCCCCCTGCGCGCCACTCCGCCATGCTCGGCCTTCCTTTGCGCAACCTTCATTGGCCGACCCGTGTAATCGCGCGTCCAACCCGCGGACTCCTCCTCGTGCTTGGTCGCGCGCTATCCCTTGACAAACGAGCTTCGACCCTCTCATGCTCGACCCTCGTGTAGTTCCTTGCCATTCCTTACGTGCTCTTGCGCCTCGCATACGAGCTCGTACCCGCCTCTTAGGCCATGCATGCGTCGTTTCAGCCCTATTCTCAGCCTCCTCGGGTCTTCTCGGCCCTTGGCCCTTCTTGTCGCAGGGGTTCGAAACCCACTTCCGTATCATTCCCCTCCACTTCGAGACTTTTTTTGTCCTCAAGGATTCATCCTCGACCATCCAAACATCGGGCACTCTTTCTTCGACCATGCGCACATCCCACCCATGGTCCTCGTCGACCTCGACCAAGATCGCCTCCTTGACATCGACTACCTCGGCTCCTTCGGCCTCGACCTCGATGTGTTGCGCGTGCCATTCCTGCGCGCACGGTTTGCTCCAATCACCCGAACTCACCATGGTGTACTCGACGTCGGTCTCATGTTTGTACGACTTCCTCTCTTTGTTCTCCTTGTCCGTGAACTCGTCGGCGAACAACTGTTCCTCGCACTCGACTTGGTCGACCTCACACTCGACTGCCTTGTCTTCAACATAGCCCGGTAGATCGAACGTAAATAAGGGCTCTCCTTCGATGACCTCCTCCATGATCTTCAATTGTCTTTCATATTCCTCCTTTTGCTCGTACATCTCCTCCAAATACTCTTGCTCCCAAGGGGTTAATTCCCTCTCCAAATTTTCGAGGTATTCGAGATCCTCCCAATCCAATTCAACTAATGGTGGGTAAGACATTCTTTCTTTTTTTTTTTTGTTTGACTCTAAAAAATTCGAAAAAATTCGAACCCAAAAATAAAAAAAAATAAAAACAAAGAGAAATTCGGCCCCTCAACAAAAGGTAATAACCGAACAAAAATCAAACAAAGGACTAACAAGATGACACTTTTTTTTAAGACTTTCGAAAAAATAAACAAAAAATTCGAACAAAATTCAAAAATTTCGAACAAAAAAGAACAAAAATTCGGCCCCTCAACAAAGGCAAACCAAAAAAATTAAAAAAGATAGATAGATAAAAACACGATCAGCACCTCTCAATGAAAGCACCAATGATGACGGATCGTGTTTTTATCTATACGTGGGTTGTGAATAAACGCGCACTAGGGCCTTCGTTTATCCATGATAGGTGTATCTAACAGACGCACTATCGGCCTTCTCTTAGACACTGTGACTTCGAGACGCTCTCAGGGCCTTCTCTCTGACACTGTATGTAAACACGCACTGACAGCCTTGTTTATCACACGTTAGAACATAAAGTTCCCCTAAAAATTAGCTCACCAATTCAATACTCAATTCAAGACATAATTATGATGAGGTACATGGGGTATTTATAGGTGCTAATTACCTCTAATGCTAATCTTACTAGGAAACTATTAAAACAATTAAATATTAAATTTAAGGCAAGTAAATATCCTACTACCATAAATTCCTAAATCTACAAGATCTCCTAATTACTTGTCTTGCACTTCAAGCAATTCTAGAATGCTCCAAGTCTTTCCCAAACCCTTCGCCGCCTCTGCACTCCTCGGCCGCCTTTGCGCGCGCGCCCTCACACCTTACCCTAG